TCCTGATGAAGGCGACAGTGGTCGCTGAAAATTTGATCCCTGTAAATAGTGTGTTGGAATAAAGTTTAACGTTTTACTATGATTACTACCAACACAGATGAACTTTATGATAAGTGAATGTCTGATTGACAGCTCTTGTTTGATTGACAGCTGAAGCTGATGATTGACAACTGTTGTTTGATTGACAGCTGAAGCTGATGATTGACAACTGTTGTTTGATTGACAACTGTTGTTTGATTGACAGCTGAAGCTGATGATTGACAACTGTTGTTTGATTGACAGCTGAAGCTGATGATTGACAGCTCTTGTTTGATTGACAGCTGAAGCAGACGAGAGTTTTGAGGAGGGTCTGCTGGGTCTGGACGGGGTGAAGGTCGGAGCTCACGGATTCGCCATGATGGAGGGGGACCACGACAAGGCGCGACTGCAACAACTACAGGGGAAAAACTCCGACGAACAGATCCTACTGGAGCAGCAGAGAAGGTTTGTTTGTTTGTTTGTGTGTTTGTTTGTTTGTTTGTTTGATTACCTTTGAGGTAGAAGGTTTGTGTTTGTGTTTTTGGTAACTATTGATGGTGGTCTTGAGAACATTAAAGATCCCTCCACACCTACATGCCTCAACATTTCCTATGGTAATTTCCTACCATAGGAACCTTCCTTACATGACAAGACTCTTACGGTTGTTGAACAGGTTTTTCTAGTTCTAATTACCTGTATTTTGCGTGAACCGTTCTTTTACATGATAAAGCTTCTTACGGACCTTGTTGTTTAACCGGTTTTTCTAGTTACTTGTATATAAGAGTGAATCGGTTCTCTGTTCATTTGTGACGCTGAAGAAGAGTGATGGATGTCACTCGAAACGTCCGGAAATAAAAATCCGTAACTGATCCAGTAGTAGAGTTTGAATTTTCTTACGAGTATCGTTTACCTGGATGTCTAACCTTCATCAACGTATGCCTCAACATTGTTCCCTGTAATCTTACCACGCTAGATATGTAAATATTGTACATTTGGGAATGCATCTGTAGCAGCGACACCTGTGCTGCAGTACAATGTGAACCAGTCAGAATTGCCCTGAGGAAGGTGACAGACGGTCACCGAAACGTCGGCTGAATAAAAGACTTTGTTGTGTAGGAAGAGTCTCTTTACTCAGTGTGTTTTCCTGCTGTATTTCTATGAACAGGTACCAGAGGTGGCTGAAACGCTCCAAGACTGACGACTTGTCAGACATTGCAGCTCTTAGGGTTCTCTACCAATCAGGTGAGCGAGTGAAGCAATGGATGGATGGATGAAGTAGGGAATGGATGAATGAATGAATGTCACACATTGCAGCTCTTAGTTTTCTATTTGTAAATACAAACTGGAATGAATGAATAAAGAAATAAAGGAAGTTGCGAAAAAAAAGCACAGAATGTTTCTTTTCCATGATGTTTCCACATTTAGATGACTTTGAAATAATGGGATAAGCCTAAGGACACTTTACATACAAGGACTTTTGTTGGTTTCAAGAAAGCCTGCACTGCTGTGAATAATTAACAGGTGGCGCTGTTGCACAATGATCCAGGGGAAGCCATATTAAAGCATGCTCTTTTCATCTGCATTCAGTGACAGTTGAAATTTAGTTGTTAACTACAAAGTGTTATTCTGTCCTTGCTCCTGTGCAGGTTCAGACATATTCGGCCGGCCGGTGGTGGTTATTGTCGGCAGAAACTTTCCTGTTAACGTCATCGATCTGGACAAGGTTGGTGCCTCTGCTATTCCCACATTAGCATGATACTTCACCTGGGCTAAGGCCACACCAATTTAATTTCTTTGTTTAACAGACTCACCCGTTTCATTTTTTTTGATTTGCAAAAATAAATTCAGAATCAACTGCAGAATGCTCATATTTTGCCTTGAACAGTTGAAAACAGTCCTTTTCTTCCTAGTTGTTACAGTTATTCCATCTTTCAATGCAATGGTATCATTAAAAGTTCAAAATTCATTGTTTAAATTTTGAACCAGCCTGGTGTGTTGATTTCATGGCTCCTATCGTACCATTTGGGCCATAATAGGATGCATAGGCCTCTTTTTTTTCGCTCGTCCGCTCCATTATTTTTCTGATTGATTGCTGTGTTTTAGGCCCTGTTGTACTTTATCCAAGTGATGGACCCGATCGTGAGTAAGGACTACGTCGTCGTGTATTTCCACACACAGAGCACCGACGACAACCAACCAGAACTCTCCTTTCTCAGGAGTGCATACAATCTCCTAGACAACAAGTGAGACGCTCGTCCTGATTGGTCGATGATATGTTGTTGTTTTTTTAACCCTAAGGCCAAACCAATTTGATTAATTGTTTCTTCCAAAAATAATGTGACAATGTTTGAAATATGACAATGTTTTTCCTGTTTCTCTCCTTGTATGCAGATACAAGAAAAATTTGAAGGCATTTTATATTGTGCACCCAACATTCTGGTCTAGGGTAAGTTTATTTGCTTGTTTGTTTGTCTGTTTGTTTTTTTAGCATAACCAGTAAACCACCTTTAAGGTTACCAGCATCAAAGCCTCCCGTCTTTGCCCGTAGAACTTGATTCTTGGACAATAAGTGAGCGGTCACTTATTGTCAAAGGAAAGAAGGAAAACCTAAAACAGTCTTAACGTACAGGAAAACTTTGTTAAAAAGTTGTGGCTAACCTTAGTTCTTTGCTACATGTCATCTCTGAGGAGGTTTTCTTGTGTTGGATAAAAGTTTGAAACATGTTTTCTTTCCTGTACCACAGATAGTGACGAGGTTTTTCACCATGTTCACGGCCAGTAGTATTAAATTGAGGACAAGGTTTAAGGATTGAAATCAAGAACCATTAGAGATCTGCTGCTAATTCTTGTGCAGCTAGTTCATGTGTTGGATGTGCTTTTTGAACTTGTTTTCTCTTCTATCCCGCAGATAGTGACATGGTTTTTCACGACGTTCACGGCCAGCAGTATAAAAGACAAGGTTCGCAGTGTGCAGAGTGTTCAGGAGTTGTACCACACCATCCCTCCTGAACAACTCGACATCCCACCTTTTGTACTGGACCATGACATACAGGTAGGGTTATTAGCATGAAAGTTCATCTGTGTTGGTACAAATCTTTATGAAATAAAGACTAAGCTTTAACTTCCAACTCTTAGACTACAGAAATGGGACTTACCCCAAATTTTCGGTTGACTCCATCAACCTTGTTCACGGAATGGATCCGTCTACTCTTGGAATGTGAAGTAGGTATGGTTACTGTTTCACTTCCTGAATAAAGAGATACCCAAGAGGTTTATTCTGACTCACATTGTAAACCAATGATTAGCCAGGAGTGTCATTGTAATGTTACAACCCAGGCTATTGTTTACATTAGAACACTATAGAAAAGAAGAAAAAAATGTACAATGCAGTCCCCAAACCCAAATGTATAGGAATATGGTTGTGAAAAAAAGGATCTTTATTCCTTCAACATGACCAGGGCTTTACATCGTATTTTCTTTTTTCATTTTTTTCAGCTGCATGGTCCGATGTACAGCCAGAGCAACTCCAACCCTGACTTCACAACGTCTGCTGAGGATGCAGGAAACTTGTAACCTGCCTTTCCAACTTCGTACGTGGGCCGCTACAACTTAGTTTCCTGGTTCTCGGGTTTTAACATGCTAAAATGTGATGCCAGCATGAAAGCAAAGTCTTCACCATACATCTGAAAACTCCCCTATGTAGAATAAAAGGTTCTGAATACATGTATTGTCAAATTCAGGTTTTCTTCCCAACCTACATCTCTGTTATGTTTACCTTCGTAGAAGGAAAACATTGTTTTTGCTCAGTTTCTTCCTCTTCTCCAAACACGTAAGGTCAATGACCTGGACCAGACGGCTGTCACCATGGTAACTGCTGCTGTAGCAGACACCCTGTGGTGTTGGATTACCTTGTGTAGCAAGCTGCAGGACAGAGTTGGAGGGGCTGGTCACCACGTAATATAGATGTGTTAGTATAGAATTAACAGAGCAGTAGTTTGTTAGGCTAGACCATTCGAAGGTAAACATAATGCATTTGCTTTGTAAATGTTACCTTTGCATTTGCTTAATTTCTATTTCAAAATGGACGGGAACCAAGAAAATAATTTGTTGTGGCCTCACCAACATAAAACTATGCCTTCAGTACAAATTCTCATCTCAACATTGATTCAACTCGCACAAAACGATTTTCTACTCAAATCTGGAAGTTTCTTGATTCTCCAAGTTTTGTATATTTAAACCGAGAACAGTAAAAAAGAAAAAGATTTTCTGATGATTGTACAAATTCTTGCCACATCTCCGTCTACGATTTAGTAGAACTGTTGAATAATAATTGTGAAGTGTTGTATCACATGTATTATGTGGTTATATCATGTAATGTGAAGTATGGTGCCAGTATGTACTTAGGTGGTCATGCTAGTTTAAAGGCATCCAATGCGATTTCAGAGGTGCAAAACTGGAAATATTCTGAATAGGGCAATCTTTATGATAGTGACACATACTGTTTCACACATGTAAATCAGCATTTCATACTTTGAGTATTTAGAACTGCAGAAACAAGCCCCAAGATGAGTCCTTTATTTTTCTGGGTGGTACCCTAAAAATCAGCCCAGGGCCCTTCCAGTAACCATTTGTCATCAGAATTTTGAGCATTTTTGCTCCATGAATGTCAACATACATTGGGATAGTGTGGTTTCAACTGAGTATGTAGATAGGTGACTAGAAAATTGGCTTTGAAAAACTGCACTGGATGCCTTTAAGAGATATATGTACTTTGGTCTCATCTTCTCATGAGCTGGTTCAAAACCACAAACTTTTTCCTGTAGCCCCTTTTCATGCTCAAGAGAACCACTCTCACTCCCAGAACCACCAATAGGAGCTCAGGATTCTTTGTCACTATGGAAACCAGTTACTATGGAAACCACACAGCCTCAATCACCATGGTAACAGGCACTTCTCAATCTGACAATTGGTGGTCCATGTTAATACATATGCATAAATGAACACATTTCAAACACTCATGTTGTACTTTTGAGATACAGGCTTTATAGGCTAGGGTAAAGATTTAAAAAAAGAATTCTGCATGTATTTGTATGAATGCATTAGGAAGTGAAATGTATTTAATCCACAAAATCATGCTGTATTATACTTATATATCAATGGCAAAGGAACTTTCAAACATTGTTTTGTAATCTTTAAATATATTGAAGGAAAAATGTAATTTTTCACAGTTATTTTGTTTGACAACTTTGTAAAATGAAGAATGCAGATTTACATAAAATGTTGAATTGCAGTTATAGGTACAAAATCATGTACCATATATTATATATGTATGAATTATTATTGAAATATCACTAATTCATCTCAGGTGTTTATTATGTTGATAGGAATAATGTATTGCTGTAATGTCAAAATGATATATATAAAGATATTGCAAATCTTTTTGCTGTTGTTACTGTTTTTTTTATAGGAATTTTAAGATTTAGATCTGAGATTTAATTGTTGGCCCTGGAGCCGAGGAGCTAGCCTGTATACTGCCCCTGGCAACAGTCTGGCACCCAGGCTAGCCCTGGAGCCGAGGAGCTGGCCTGTATACTGACCCTGGCAACAGTCTGGCACCCAGGCTAGCCCTGGAGCCGAGGAGCTGGCCTGTATACTGCCCCTGGCAACAGTCTGGCACCCAGGCTAGCCCTGGAGCCGAGGAGCTGGCCTGTATACTGGCCCTGGCAACAGTCTGGCACCCAGGCTAGCCCTGGAGCCGAGGAGCTAACATGTATATTAACCCTGGCAACAGTCTGGCACCCAGGCTAGCCCTGGAGCCGAGGAGCTGGCCTGTATACTGGCCCTGGCAACAGTCTGGCACCCAGGCTAACGTATTTCCCCCCTCCACCCCAGAAAGAGTCCAAAGTCCGTGCGTGCTCTGCCCGTGGTCAGTACGTGAACTGTGGGGCTTTCCCTGACTTAGGGACTAACCTCGGCTATTGTCTGCCAGCAGTGTTTGCAGGGTAAGCATTATTCGCGCTGCAAAACATTCATCCATTCAGTTGTCTCAAAGTGCTGTTGCTATGGGCAAGCTGGATCCAGAACCTTGCTTTACCCATGAAATGCCCAGTATCCCCATATCTGCTTGGAGATTATTGCCATGGTTACGGGTGGTGGTTAACAGGTGGTTGTTGAATGTAAAGGTTTCTGAGTTCGTCGATCAAGGTTAGGTAATGAGTTAAAAAATCATTACTCAAGCAACTGGATGTGGACAGATTCTGAAAACTGTCAGACGCCTCAAGTAGCATCCACTACTTTTCGTCGGTGACTAAAGTTTGTGGGTTCTATCCCCTAGCAGGCTACAATGTTGAGCACTTGGAAAAGGCATTTTACACCTATTCGTTTCCTCACTGGACTCTGGTCAAAATGAGTACCCAGCTTCGGTTAGGGACGTCCTCTCAGATGGGACGTAAACCCGGAGGTCCTATAGCCTCCTTCGCAGACTTTTGCAGCGGCGGCGCAAATCTTTTTTTTTTTTCGGTTGGAGTCGAAAAAAAACTTAATGTGATACAAACAAGCAAGCAAACCCATGAAGATACCACCATAAGAAGCTTACCAACGGTATACTACTCTCCAAGCAGAGGTTGTGGGGAATGATCGTTACCTTTTTATATATGGCCGTTTTTTTGTCCTGACCCCGTCGGTGGCTAATGGAGCTTCTCTGGCCAATGGATACTGCCTGGCCTTTTTGATACTGTCTTATTTGCCACCGAGAGGGATCTGCTTGGAGATTATGGTATACAACACAACACAATGCAGCCTATAACGTAACAACAGAGTTATGATTAGTAAATATAACAGGTCTTGACACCTGCAATATTTAACCATGTCTCGCGATGTTTGTTCTAAGCTCTGCCGTGTTGACTCAGTAACCTCGGACTTCGCCTGTGCGCTTGAACGATTTGCTGACTTCGTAGTTTCACAGCCGGGAAAAACACCCATGACGTAACGTATTTGCGTTAGTGGGGTCATGTTAGCCTCTACCAGGCACCGCGGATCGCTGGAAAAATAGTAGAAATTGGCCGAAATAAAGGGATAGTGTACCAGAGAAGATCCAGGGCCATAGAAGCTCCAATTTGCGACCCACGACAAATTGGAGCTTCTATGGCCTCTGGTATACTATCCCTTTATTTCGGCCAATTTCTACTATTTTTCCAGCGATCCGCGGTGCCTGGTAGAGGCTAGGGTCGTGTGGCGTAGCGGCAGGGTGTGCGACTCTGAACTAAGAGTCCCGAGTTCGAGTCCTGACATGCCACCGATCTTGTGTGTCTTGGGAAAGGCACTTTACACGGCTTTCCTCACTTAGCTCAGGTGAAAATGAGTATTGTCCTGTCATGTATTTGTCCCCTGTGTTGGTGGCGGCATTAATATATGTTGAAGAAACTTGAGTGTGTCGTCACCACGTCTGGTGATTACATGTTGGATTGAATAAAAACGTATTTGCGCTGCGATGTTGGTAGTTAGAAGTGTCGCTATGGCCACAGCAAGTAAATTTTATGGATGACATCAACCGCAGACTCAAAATCTAATGCGAGCGGGCGAGAAAAACAAGGCGGGCCAAAAAAACCAAGATTCCTACATTTTCAAATTTGGACATAATAAACCTTGTTAAGCAAGAAATGATACCTAATTGTGCTAAGCTTACTGCCAACTATTACTACATCCATTTGTCACTGAATAAAACTTTGAAATAATACTAATACACCAGCTTCGCAGGCACGCGGTGCGGTGGCAGCTGGCCACATTACACCTAACCCTTGGACATCCAACTCTAAACACTGTTTAAAGCTATCTAATGACGAACTAATGATGAAGTCCAATCCCTTGTGTTGGAAATTACAATTTAAACCGCTTCATATTGACGCAAGTTTGTATCGTTTTTCCCTTTTTTGTGACGCGCGAATGACGCAAGTTTGTGTGGTTATAACCTCCCGTAACGCGTTACTGACGCAAATTTGTCATACTGTAACGCGTTAGTGACGCAAGTTTGTCACGCTACCCCCGGTGTAGTGGCAGCGATGTCGGGACCACATGCAGGCAAGTTGGGAAAAACATGCGTCACCGAAACATCTGCTTCCCCGCTCCACTTTCACATGTTAGGCTTTCAACAATGTCTAGAGTTAGATGTCCAAGGGTTTGGTGTAACAAGCCGTTCGGTGTAATGTAGCCAGCTGCCACCGCGCCGCGTGCCTGCGAAGCTGGTGTGATTTGCCGTAGGGAAAAACAAGCGTCACCCAACATCTGGTTCCCCGCTCCATTTTCACATGTTACGGCCGGTTTGGAGAAATACTCGTCTGTGACCAGAATGGCAAATACATGAAGTATTATGCTATGTCAAAGAAGGTTAGACATTCTGACAACTCTCTAGTGTCACTGACTAAAGCTAGTGGATGCTACCTAAGCATCTGGCCGTTTCCAAAATCATATCCAGTTGCTTGAGTAACTGTTGTTTGGCGTATCTTATTACCTGGATGTCTAATATTCACTGGCGTTAAACAGTCAGACAGAATATTACGTTGATACAAAATAAATCCAGCAAATGGATCAATTCTGTAGAGTCAAACGTTTCAGATACCTTCCACCATGTTAACATGAACTTTGGTTGTGCCAATAAATTCACGAAAACGTTTGTAATAGTACTGCTTCCAAATTCCATTGTATCTTGTTATGTTTTAGAATGAAGACCACTTCGGACTACTTTGCCGAGGCAGGGTCGCTAACCACTGGACCACTCAAGCAAAGACACCTTACATAACGTAATACACCCTTTGGGGAAATGTCTGTCGCCAAGTAAAGTACTTTTTGTCTCATTCTTACTCTCAGTCCCGAGTGGTCGGTGTTACACAGTCTCTCGCCCTCTGGGGCTGATCTAGGGATCCTAGGTAATCTCCAAGCAGATCTTTTGGTTGGCTGCAAAGACAGTACAAGTATTAAATTGGCCAGGTAGTATCCATTTGCCAGACAGTTACCATTGGCTGGCGTAAAAAAGAAAGATACCAGCACAGAAAGTGAGCCCCAATAGCAAAAAAGCCCAAACCTTTGCTTGGAGTTGGGATAATTTTCTTCAACTGTTGCTGCCAAAATATGACCATTTTGGGGTTGATTCATAACGCGCTGCGCTAGAAACACACAGGGTTGGGAAAGTACCTCAGGGCTATTTTCTTGTAAAAGATAAATTTGATGCAACTAGCTTGTTTTTTTTTTTAATCTTTAAGATCTATAAAACATTTTTTGTAAGTATACGTATAAATGAAATGTATGTGTAGAAAATAATTTTGATCGAAAGTTTAATGTCCGATGCACACAGTTACTTGTTACATTTTACTTACCTTGCGCCCTCCTCTTAATTATAATGAGATAAAGGGCTGGCCTAGGTGTACTTCAACGAGTCATCTTGTATATACATGTATATTGAAATAAAGATGATTTTAACCCCCCTTCCCTTGTATATAAGAAGAAAAAAAAG